CCAGAGTTCCCACAAGCGTTCAGGCAGTCTTCGGAGAAGGAAGCGTATCGTGGGAGGTCTCATATTGACTCCCATGAGGCGATCTGAAAAAATCACAAGGATACACTGGTCGGGGCAACTGTACGGCTCCCACACATCAGGTCGTGAAGGGCTACAGTCGGATCCCGCGTGAGGAAGCACACACTTATATACCTGCCGAACAGCAGCCCACCGCGCGGCGACACGGGCCGTCTGGATCCGTCGCCCCCAAGCCATAGCTCGAGTCGATATCTGAAAAGGCACGAACGCTGACATGTGTGCAGATCTTGTAGATTCATATACATACATACATACATACATACATACATACATGCATACAAACATATATTTGTATATGCCTTCATACATACATACATACATACATACATACATACATACATACATACATACATACACACATGCATACATACACACATAACTACATATATGCATGCATGCATCCAAACATACGCACACAGGCGCGCATGCGCATATGACGGCACTTGCACACCTGCGCACACATACAAACATATGAAAATCAACTCACTCACAAACGAACGCGCACGCGTACGTGTGTACGTTTTTTGGCGTCGCGGCCCCGCGCGCAGCGACAGGGCGTAGCAAAGTCAGAGAAGAAGGCGCGCGCGCGTCTAAAGGCCGAACCTCACAACGTACGCTTACACGCACGCACATACCTTTCCGTCAGCGGCTGGGCGGTGAACTCCGCTCCAGCGAGCAGCTAGAAAGGGGCACTGACTAGCGAACTGGCCGACTGGCAACGAGGCGCGCACGCCTACACGCAGACCCAACTCGCTCGCCCGCTGCCCCGCGAGGGCGGCCGCCAAGCGCCGGCCTCCGGCGATCAGAGTCAGGTCCGAGGCCGCGGGGGAGCTCAGCAGGGTCCCCAGGTGCCGCGCCAAGGCCTGTCGGGAAAAACGGGGGGAGGTGAGGGAGGGCGAGGGAAGGAGGCCGGGGGGGCTCTGGGCTTGCCGGCAGGGGCAGCTGCCGCATCCTGATCTCCAGAGTCGTGCCTCGAGCAGCGCGCGGCGCGCTTTCCCGGCGCGGCGTCGCGGCACTCCCGCGAGAGATGCAGCTCTCCACAGCTCCTCCTCCTCCTCCTCCTCCTCCTCCTCCTCTCCTCCTCGTACTGCTCCTCCGTACTCCTCCTCCTCCTCCTCCTCCTCCTCCTCCTCCTCCTCCTCCTCCTCCGTTCCTCCTCCTCCTCCTCCTCCTCCTCCTCCTCCTCCTCCTCCTCCTCCTCTTCCTCCTCCTCCCTCTCCTCCCTCCTCCTCCTCCTCCTCCTCCTCCTCCTCCTCCTCCTCCTCCTCCTCCTCCCTCCTCCTCCTCCTCCTCCTCCCCCTCCTCCTCCTCCTCCCCCTCCTCCTCCTTCTCCTCTTTCTCCTCCTCCTCCTCCTCCTTCTCCTCCTCTGTGCGACGATCTCTGCGGCAAGGCCGGGGAGGTAGCACACAGGTCCCATGCAGGCGCGAACGGAGAGCGGGGAGGTGGGGATGGAGGAATTAGGAAGCAACTCCCGGGAAGCCTTCGCAAAAACAAACAAAGCCCGAAGGGCCCGACGGAGCGGCGAACCGAGCCCAATGTCGCTTCGCCCCTGGCCAAAGGAGAGTCAGACCGACACCAACATTCAAAAACATTAGCCTGGCTTCGAAATCTCATATTATACATACGTAGCACCCCGCAGATGCGGATAAGAGCGAGGGGGCGCCGGGGACGTCCGCAGCCCGCGAGATCCCGGAGAAGCCCGCCGCAGACGCGAAAGCCCAACAAATCACACAACGAGTCCGCCGCAGGGGCCGATTTTTCTTCAAACCAATGTGGATCTGTCGCGGGTGGGTCGCGGGCTGGGTAACATGTGTCGAGGGTGGGTCGCGGGGTGGGTCGCGGGGTGGGTCGCGGGGTGGGTCGCGGGTGGGTTGCGGGTTGGCTCGCGGGATGGTCGCGGGGTAGGTGGCGGGGTGGGTCGCGGGGTGGGTCGCGGGGTGGGTCGCGGGGTGGGTCGCGGGGTGGATCGCGGGGTGGGTCGCGGGGTGCGTCGCGGGGTGGGTCGCGGGTGGGTCGCGGGGTGGGTCGCTGGGTAGGTCGCGGGGTGGGTCGCTGGGTAGGTCGCGGGGTGGGTCGCGGGGTGGGTCGCGGGGGGGACGACGACAACAAACAACAAACAACAAACAACAAACAACAACAAAAACAACAACAAGACAACAGCAACAACAACAACACCAACAACAACAACAACAACACGACAACAACAACAAAAACAAAAACAACAACAACAACAACAACAACAACAACACAACAACAACAACAACAACAATTACTAGCACGTGGGGACACTCCGTTCTCACCAGTGCCAGGGTTTTCATACGACGCCCGCCAATACCCCCACTTTGTGGGGGGGCCGGTTCAAGCTCTACCACATTTCCAAACGACTCTTCGCCACCACCCACACCCAGCTTCCCGCCCTATGACGTTCGGACACTTCACTTCGTGGCCTGCGGACGACCGTGGCTACTACACTGGCGCGGTGCTAAAATCCCTAAGAAACCCAATGGTTTTTGAAGATTTCGGCGTGCGCGCGCGAAGAAAAAACGAATGTGTCCCGCATGGTATTATTTGACAGGGATGATGGCCCTGGCAGGTGCGCAACCGTTGTTGGCAGAAGTTCGAAAAAGTTGCTCGCAAAAGCCCGTTTGACAGAAATGTTTAAAAAGTGTTGGGTTTCCTACGAATCCGCAAGAGCGCGCGGGATGAAATTTTGACATTTTTTTTTTTTTTGAAAAACCATTGGTTTTTTGATGTTTTTATGTTAAAATCGCTACGAACACTAAGGTTTTGGAAGGATTTCGTCTTGCGCGCGCGAATGTCCACTTTACCTTATTTTTTGCAAGGGATTCTTGAAGTTTGGTTATGTTAGAACAAGAAATGTCCACTTTGCCTTATTTTTTGCAGGGGAAAACCGCCCGTAACAAAACAACCGGATCCGGACCAACCCGTTTTCCCGGAGACTTCCTCACGAAAATGATGAAAACATGGCTGCGGCCTAGGCGCGGCGAGGGGGCCGTGCACCAGGGGTCCCAACAATAATTATTCTTTAGAAGTAATAATGTTCAACAACAACAACAGCAGCAGCAGCAGCAGCAACAACAACAACAACAACAGCAAGAACAACAACGGCGGCGACGGCAACAACAACGAAAGCACCAACGATAACAACAATAACATCACTAACAACAATAACAACAACACTAACAACAACAAAAACACCAATAACTACAACAAGAACAACAACAACAACAACAACAACAACGACAACAACAACAACAACAATCACTTTACCCGAACGCTCAGTGTTCTCACCAGTGCCAGGGTTTTCATGCGACGCCAGCCAATACCCCCACTTTGTGGGGGGGCAGTGCAAGCTCTACCAAATATCCACACGACTCTTCGCCACCACCCACACCCAGCTTCCCGCCCTATGACGTTCGGACACTTCACTTCGTGGCCTGCGGACGACCGTGGCTACTACACTGGCGTGGAGTACACACCCACAGAAGTTGTTAAGCCTACGTTCGTACACCCACAGAAGTTGTTAAGCCTTGTTAACCCACAGAAGTTGTTAAGCAAGCCCAATGGTTTTTGGAGATTTCGGCGTGCGCGCGCGAAGAAAAAACGAATGTGTCCCGCATGGTATTATTTGACAGGGATGATGGCCCTGGCAGGTGCGCAACCGTTGTCGCAGAAGTTCGAAAAAGTTGCTCGCAAAAGCCCGTTTGACAGAAATGTTTAAAAAGTGTTGGGTTTCCTACGAATCCGCAAGAGCGCGCGGGATGAGATTTTGACATTTTTTTGTTGAAAAACCATTGGTTTTTTGATGTTTTTATGTTAAAATCGCTCCGAACACTAAGCTTTTGGAAGGATTTCGTCTTGCGCGCGCGAATGTCCACTTTACCTTATTTTTTGCAAGGGATTCTTGAAATTTGATTATATTAGAACAAGAAATGTCATTTTATAGTGTTTTTTGCAAGGGAAAGCGGATTACAACAAAACAACCGGATCTTGATCACATCGAATTACCTGAGGCTTCCTCACGAAAATGATGAAAATGTAGCTGCGGCCTAGGCGGCGCAGGGGGGCCGTGCACCAGGGGCCCCAACAATAATTATTCTTTAGAATTAATAATGTTCAACAACAACAACAACAACAACAACGCAACAAACAGAACCCTCACGAAGGATTCTCCCTTCAGCCGCGCACCCAGGGACAATGAATGACCGTTCGGCCCCCTCACTCTGATGAGCGCATTCTCTTTCAGGGGGAGCGCCTCGCCGCACCGGAAGGTATCGCTTGACCCGCATCGCGCTTCAGGCGTGGGGGTGGGGTGAACCCAAAAAACCGCAACCACCCCCCGAAGGCGCAAGCGCCCAGCCCCCCAACCGAAGTTTACCACTCACGGGGAATCAAGGATGGCGCCGCGGCGATAGCAGGCTAAGCGACGCCGCTCCCAGGGAGGCGCGCAGGCAACCAACCGCCCAACCATGGTTGAGGCAAGCGGTCACCCGCGGTGCCACCTTGGTACATCCTTCTGGGACCCTCTGGGAGGCCTCTGGGAACCTCTTGGGCCGTCTGGGGGTCCTCAGATAGCCGCAAGGGCCGTCTCGGTGACTTGAAGGAACCCCCAGGCCCGGGAGGGCCCTGGAAGCTCTAACTTCTGGGGCACTTCTTGGAGGCCTGTGCGGGCTCGCTTGGGCCTAAAGGCTGCCTCACGCAAGCCACGAGCAGATCCCAAGATGGCTCCAAGAGGCCCAATGGCGACACGAATGGCGACGCGGACGGCGACACTATAGTGGCGACGCGGGTGGCAACACGTACGGCGGCACTAACGGCGACACTATCGGCGACGCTGAAGCACGGCGGTGGCGGCACGAACGGCGACACTGCTGGCGACGCAAATGACTCGAATATTGCAGCCACCGCCCAGCCTCAACCATGGTCACTAGTCGCAGAACACTCAATTCGTCGCCCAGGCCAAAAGACTTGATGTGTTGTTTGCGTTTGTGTCGATGCCCCGGCGTTCGCGTCGAACCTTATCGCAGTTTGCTGCCCGTCCACTGTCGGGGCGCTGGCGCCGACGCTGATAACAGCGCCGGCGGCGACACGAATGGCTGGCTGTGCTAACGGCGACACGAATGGCGGCACAAATGGCGACATGCATGCACGTCCTAGATATCCCTTTCTCTTCATGTCATTGCGTGTGTATCGCAAATGCCGAGGTGCCGACCTGGTAGTCAGCTTGCCCTTCTATCCTGGCTATGGCGATGCGCGTCCGCTCGCCCCGAACACGTTTGTATCGCCCCAGCCGCCGTTGGCCCAAAAGACACTGGAAATTGGGGGCAGAACAACAGATCAGAAGAACGCACGGAAAAGAAAAAGACACAGAACCGGACAAATAGTATCAGAAGTAAGTGCGCCAGATGAAGAAACTGATGGGCTTAACGGGTTGGAACGGTTCCACCCATTCAGACTAGATCATGAAAGCGCAGCGAGCGCTTGTGCGCGAAGAAGTCGGGACACAGGAGACACAAAAGCCTACACAGTGTTGTCGAAAACAGAACGCGATCGATACCTAAACCTGATTTCTCATAAATGTGACAAGAAAACTGTGCACACCAAAGTAAACGGGTCTGAGCCGAATTAAGTGGGATCGTTCCAAATTAAATCTCCTTTCGACCACGGACATATCCACGCCGACGCTGAATTGACCTTCCAGGATTTGCATCCTAAGAGGAGGGGTGGAACGGGGGGAAAAGGAGAAGGACGAGGCAGAGAAGAGCGAGGAGGGAACGGCACACCACCTCACCGTCAAGCGTGAACCAAAATGATGTCGTCCAAGCGCAGATCCGGATTCTCGCGGAAGATGGGCTGCACCTCTACCCTGTCTGGGCCGAAGGAGCGGCGGTACTCCTGCAGGGTGGCCTGGAACTCCGGCGCCACGCGCTCGTCCTCGTTGAGCAGGGACCGACCGTCCCGGCATTCCTATAGTCCTGCCACGAAATGTTCTTAGAACCAAAACATGTTCTAAGAACAAACACGATGTTCTTAGAACATAAGCCCGATGTGTTAAAACAAGACAATCTCGGCCAGAACTGTTCTGAGAACATTTCCTGGAAACCACAAAAATGGTTCTTAGAGCATTCTTCGGTAGGGATATATCGGGAGCGGCCAAGGGGGGGGTGTCTAAGAGGGGGGGGTGCAAATCATGACCAGCGGCATGTGCGCGGCCCAGCGGGGGGGCCAGGGACGTAAGGAAATAAGAAGAGGCGCCATGAGATCTATGGAAAAATCATGGCCCCCGCCATGATATCCACCCCCCCCTAGTCATCACCCCCCTCTTGTCCGCCCCCGACCATAGGCGAGCCAGGACGCTTCGCCACTGCTCGATCCTCGGGCGAGGCGTGCCACATGTGGTGGACGACCATGCCCCCCGGCTTCAGCAGCCCCTGGGCCGGAGCAGGGCGAGCGCTTCGACGGCTGCCCGGGAGGGGGCCCCGTCGCGCCAGCTTCCTGAATGGGGCCCTGTGACGCACCAAGAAATACACACAAACAACAGGGCTCCCCAGATTTTCCCATATTTTCCTATAGTTCCCCCCCCACTTTTCATATTTTCCCATATTTTCCCCCACTTCCTATATTTTCCCACCCACTTCCAATCTTTTCCCCCCACTTTCCCACTGGGTTATCGTCTTCCCCCCCCACTTCCCACATTGTCCCACATTTACTGGAGAATCGACGATTCATTGTGTCCGTGTGTTTTGTTCCCCTCCCGATTGACGTCGGGTATGCCCTCCCACGGGCGGATTTGGGAGAGCCATAAAAAATACCCCCCGCAAAACAAAACACGAATATGTAGTCAGAAGAGCACGAGACATCGGCACCAAACTGCTTTTCGCTGCTCTTGACTACTCTTCCCGTGGAAGGGCATGCCCGACTCGACGCCAGCTCCCCGAGCCGCGCCCGGCCGTTCGGCGGCGACGATAAGGGGCGAAAAGCACAGGGGCGGGCAATACTCGCATTCGCCTGGGAGCCTTGGCGAAGACGTGGGTCATCGGCACACCTGAATCGGCGGTGGACAGACCTCCCTTTAGTAAACCTCCCCTTAGTGAAAACGGCCTGGGACCGAAACCGACGGACCTGGACCCGCAAACAGGACGGCCGCAACGCCCTCTCGCGAACCGAAAACGACCAATTCCTTAATCGACGTGTCAGGGTAGGAGGTCTGTCCACCCCCCCCTGAATGCATGTGTTGCTCTCCCCTGGGCTACTCGCCCCTGTCGCCGCCTCTGAGCCGTGGCGACGAGGCCTCCCCCCCCCCAGAAGGCCAGCCGCCGCCGCCCTCCCCCCCCCTCCTCCTCCTCCTCCTCCTCCTCCTCCTCCTCCTCCTCCTCCTCCTCCTCCTCCTCCTCCTCCTCCTCCTCCTCCTCCTCCTCCTCCTCCTCCTCCCCCCCCAGGCCTTGATGTCGTCCACCAGCTCCGCCGAGCGGCCCTTGCCCACAAAGCAGTCCACCACGACCGCGTCCCAGCCTCTTAGGAGCCCCGAAGCGGTGCGGTGGCAGACCGCTCGGTGAGCTCGAGATCCCCCAAGATGGGACGCACAGAGACATACTAATACCATATGTCCTCCTTGCAGGTGCGCGTCCGACCCGAACATCTAGTATACCCACCTTGTAATACATAGTTTTCCGAGCGGTGAGGCCAGAAAGCGCCCGCTGCGACGCATATACTATAAGATTTCTCGGTGCGCGCGTCGCCCCTGGGGGGGCGACGCACATATAGTATAAGTATGTTGGGGTGACGCCGACAAGACCTCACCGCACGGCCCGCCAGCGCACGGTTCTTGGGACCTTGGAGGCCCAGGTCGCCCGAGGCGTCCTCGGAGAACGACCCGAGCCCCAAAACCGTGCGGCGACCCCGAGAATCCCCTCCGACTCACCACACTGGGGAGACCAAAAGGTACCGATACCGCCACTCCCCCGGTCTCTCCCCGGGTGTGTTCTGACCAGGATCTCGAGGCGAGTCTGGCGGTGGCGACGAGGGCAGCCCAGGAGGCCGAAAAGGGTGAACACGAGGAAAGGGTAGAAGCATGGGTACCTGTTCTTAAGCAGGGACCGACCGTCCCGGCATTTCTATAGTCCTACCACGAAATGTTTTTAGAACCCCAAAAACCGTTCTAAGAACAAAAGCAATGTTCTTAGAACAGGTTCCCGGTGTGTTAAAACAACACAGCCCCAGCCAGAAATGCTCTGAGAACAGTTCCTGGAAGCCGCAAAAAAGGTTCTTAGAACATTGTTTGGTGGGGCTATAGGCGAGCCAGGACGCTTCGCCACTGCTTGAACGGTGTGGTCACCACCCCGTTTGGGGGGCCCCCGACGGCCCGCCGCGCCGAGCGCCGCGGGGCCGGGGCCCTCCGCGACCAGCGCGGGCGCCGAGGCCCGCGCGCCCAGCGCCCGCAGCTCGCGCCGCACCACGGCCAGCGCGTCGCCGACGACCACCTCGGAGGCGCCCGGCTCGAGCGGCAGCCCGAAGAACTGGGAGGCGATGGCGCCAGGGCTCGACCGACGCAGCGCTTGGGCAGGGGCCGGCCGCCCCGGCCTTCCTGCAGGCCCACCACGCCGTGTTCCTAGAACCCAATGCTGTTCCATAAATATAAAAACAGATGTCCTCAGGACATACGACGAAAGTGTGGAAACAAGACAGCCCCAGCCGGAAATGTTCTAAGAGCACTTCGTGGAAACCACAACAGGTTTTTAGAGCACTGCTCGGTAGGCCTCTAGGAACGCCAGGGCGCTTCGCCACTGCTGGAAAGCGTGCCTCGCGGTCGGTGCGCCGTCGTTGTCCGTCGTGGTGTCCTCAATTCCGCCTGCGCCGCAAAACGAGCACTGGCGACGCCCTGCCTGAAGGGGCCCTAGGACACACAATTAAATACACACAAATAAAAATATTCCCCACATTTTCCAAAATTTACTGGGTTTCTGACTTCCCCCCCACTTCCCATATTTCCCTATATTTTCTGGGGAATCGCGGATTACTTGTGTCTGTGTGTGTTTTTTTTCCCTCCTGACTGTCGCCGTCTGGGGGCCAGGTTTTGGGCAGGTGGTTCCTGGGTCCTGGGTGGGCCGAAAATGCTCCTCCCTTCCCAGCGGCACCCGTTGGCCCATTGACCTCGCTAACGCGAGGTGAATCGAGCCCTGTCGTGATCGGGTCGAAGGGAAGCCCCTCCCATCATCCGATCCCTCCCTGTCAAGTTCGGCGGGACCGGCCGCAAGTCTTCTCTGACCCAAACGACAACGGTCATGAAATTGCCACAACACCTTCTGTGGCAACTCATGGGAGCCTGCCATACCATCGTGCTGGCTCTAGCGTGTCGACGCTAATCGACGCTAAATCGACTCACATCGACGCTTGTCGGCGCAGACCGACGCTACATCGGGGCCTTCTCACCAATTGCCAGTCGTTGGCGCACGCTACACACGTGAATGATGGAACTACGATGACACACGGCTCCCGTGAACTGCTACCGAAGATCTTAGTCTACCGACGACACGCCGTGGATCATCCTCGCGCACCCGCGACGGCCAGCACGGACCATCACCAAAATCAACATGAACCAGATCCCGCGACATCCCGGCCTTGGCTCCCGTGCCCCTACAGGCCTCTTAGATGGGGTCCGAGTAGATGGCATCGCCGATGTATCGCCGATGCATCGGTGATACATCGACGATGCATCGGCGACGTCGGCGATGCATCGCCGACAACGGCGTGGGGAAACTCGGGTTCCGCATCGACCGCATCGCGGATGCACCGGCGATGCGGCGCGATCCTCCGAAAATCTGTTCCGCGACATCCCGGCCTCGGCTCCCGTGCTTTCCTTCCCTCGATCTCGAGTAAAACAGGGCTAGGATCGGGATAAATCGCTCCAGAGCGTTCCGGAGCGCTCTCAGAGTGTTCCAGAACGCTCTGGAGCGGCCGCGGCGCCCAATACATCCTCCACACCCGCCGATTCTCAGAGATTTCGAGTTATCCCGATCCGATTTTGTCCCGATCTTCGCGTCGTTTTAGCCGTTCATTCCCTCGATCTCGAGGTCGAGCCCTGGCGATGGCCGCGAAGCGCGGGTCGATCTCCGCGGACCGCAGCCGCAGGCCGGCCGGGCACGAGCGCCGCAGCATCGCTCGGCGACTCCGAAGGGTGCGGTTGGCAGAGGCTCTGGCCATCGCTCGGACGTCCATTCCCTGTGTTTTTTTCGGTGTCGTGCGTGGCTTTTTCGCCAAGTGATCAAGGATGCTCCTCGAGGGTCCTCGCCGAAGGAAAAATGCACACGTCCCAGCGATGCCAAGCCCTGGGTGGCGGGCGAGGGCCTCGACAGAGCTCTCTCCGCCGCGCCCCGAGGAGGCCCGGCGAGGACAGCGTCGTGCCCCCCCAGGCCCTGACGGTGCCGATCGCAAGCCGCACCCCGGCGGAACCATACCCGTTGCAGTCGCCGGATCGTGTGCACCACGCCGCCGCCGAGGCCCAGCAGCAGCACGTCGGCCGGCGCGGCGGCTGTCGGAGAAGGGCGGGCCGAGACGGCGTCGGGCGTGTTGCCCCCCCCGGGGCCGAACAGAAATATCGGCCTCCAGGAAATCTCGGCCTCCTCCTCCTCCTCCTCCTCCTTCTCCTCCTCCTCCTCCTGCTTCCTCCCTCCCCCCCCCTCCTCCCTCCCTCTGCCCTCCTCCCTCCTCCCTCCGCTGGGATACAGCCGGGCCTGGACCAGAAGAGCAGGCTTCAAGAACGTGAGGCCCTCCGTCGACCAAAGCACACAGGACATCCGAGGGTACCCTCCCCAGGGTGCACAAAAACATCCCACGAACACGAACAACACTAGGATGCCCACCCCGAACCAACCTCGATCCAAGACCCTGGTCCGACGTCTGCGCCGTCGGCATGAAGAACATAGGGCTCCACAGCAGGCCGCACTTCCGCCGACCCCACCTGCTCCGACCCGACCCGTGAGGCCCAGATCAATGAGGGGGGGGGAACGAGCACTTTCCGCGCCCCTCTCGGGCCCCAGAGGGGGCCCCTTCATGGCCCTGAGCATGCGCCAGAAGCGCACTTCCCTTCAGTCATCCCCCCCACGACGCAACGCCCACCTCCCCTGGGACACGGGCGTCGTAACTGTTGAACAACGGGCGTCTTCGACTGGCCTCGGGCCCGCACGACCATCGTGGATCGATCCACTTCGAAAGTTGACGCAGCAAAATGGGATTTTTAGGTTTCCGGTCGTTTTTTTCGCGCGGTTGCGCGTCGGGACTCCGTAACACATTCGGCCCCCGGGCCAGCTCCTCGAGCCGCGCCCAATCGTGGCGACGAGGCCCCCCCCCCGAAGGCCAGATGCCGCCGTCTCAGCTCGCCCCCCTCGGATGCTTCCGGGGAAGGAAAACCAGCAGAGGCTCAGGTCGGGCATGTCCTGCACGTTTGACCATTCTTGAATGTTCCTCCTGTAGAGGGACGTGCCCGACGTAAGCGTAGGCCTGCCCTTCTGGACATCGCGCGGGATTCCTGAATCGGCGCTAAAATCCGCCGACCCTGTCGGCGTGTGTGAGGGGCTCCTCCGTTCGACTCGTCGTCTCCGTCGTCTCCGCTCCCCCCCTCCCAGGGCTCTCCTCCTCAAGCGCGCTATCCAAAGCGAAATTATACGACGTCGTAGTGGAGTCGAAGGGAAGCCCCTTCCGTTTGATCCCTTCCCCGCAGAGGGGGGGGGGGGGGCAGATACGACGCCCGCCGGGGCGCACTTCTCTCGAGCGGGCACGCACGGGATGCACTTCCTCCTCCTCCTGGTCCTCCTCCTCCTCCTTTTCCTCCTCCTCCTCCTCCTGCTCCTCTCCTCCTTCTCCTCCTCCTCCTCCTCCTCCTCCTCCTCCTCCTCCTCCCGCAGAGGCGTCCCGGGAGCGGGCCCCGAGTCAAAATACCACCCCCCTAGGGCGCATTTTCCTCGAGCGGGCACGCCCGAGATGCACTTCTTCCTCTTCCGGGAGCACGTCCCAAGTCAGAATATCACACTCCCGGGGCGCACTTTCTTCGAGCGGGCACACAAAGGATGCACTTCCTCCTCCTCCTCCTCCTCCTCCTCCTTTTTCCCCCTCCCCCTCCTCCTCCTCCCTCCTCCTGTTCCTGTTCCTGCTCCTCCTCCTCCTCCTCCCTCCTCTTCCTCCTGCTCCTCCTCCTCCTCCTCCTCCTCCTTCTCCTCCTCCTCCTCCTCCTCATCCTCCTCCTCATCCTCCGCTCCCCCCCCCACTCCTAGCCGTTTCGATCAGGGTCGGCGGCACCGGCCGTCAGGCCTCCCCAATCTCCACCCAAGCGCGAGGAGCGTGCCAGGGTTGGCGCCAGAGGCGCCGTCTAGGGGTGGTCGGGGGGCGTCCAAGAGGGGGGGGGGGGGGGGGCGCAAAGCGTGGCCAGCGGCATGTGCGTGCCTGGCCCAAGGGGAGGTGGGGCCAGGGACGCAATGAAATACATGGTGTTTGATCGCGACCGCGGCGAGGGAAGGTCGGGCGGCGTCCAGGGAATTGCAACTAGCAGCGGCCTAAATTAGCGCAAAGGAAGAAAGGAAGAGGAAGACAAACATGAAATAACAAGCACGAGCAGGAGAGAGACAAACAGGAGAAGAGCCTCACTGCCGCTCAGAGGAGCGCAGGCACCAGGACGAACTTTTGGGCGACGTGCAACACCAGGGGGCACAGTGAAAACGTATAGTAAGGACGCGTGGTAAGGACGCAAGACCCTTGGAGGCCGAAGCTGAAGCATTCTGGGCGGCAGGCGGCCAAACCCCCAGGGAACCTGAGAAACTGGCCTGCGAAAATTGCTAGGGGCGGGCCGCAGAGGCTGAGGCAGGCAAGGACCCAAGGGCACCCTTGAAAAAGTCGTTTGTCCTTGCTATGCGCGTTGACTGTACTTCAAGAAGCCCAACAGTCTGGCGTCCATGAAATAAGACGAGGCGCCATGACATCTGAGAACATAGCATGGCCCACGCCATGGTATCCCCCCCCCCCTGGCCATCACCCCCCTCCTGGCCGCCCCCAAGGGGGGCAGGGGGGGGGGACAGCGCCGACCCAAGACACCCGCGCGGAGCTCCGAGCACGTGTGGCCACGGCGTGTCCGCGCCCTGGCTCGAGCGCGCCCGCTCCCCGTGCGCGCACCGTGGTCGGCCTCGCGCGCCTCCTCCTCGCAGGACGAGCCGGGGTGCTCCTCGAGGGCCCTCGCCGAGCAAGAATGCACACCGCCTGGCGATGACAGGCTTCTTCCCCGAGGATTGGCAACGCGGCGCCACGGCGCCCACGCTCGCGCGTTCCGACTCCGACGGTCGGCGGCGAGCCCGGGGGGACTCCTCCTCCTCCTCCTCCTCCTCCTCCTCCTCCTTTTCCTACTCCTCCTTTTCCTCCTCCCCCTCCCCCTCCTACTCCTCCCCCTCCTCCTCCTCCTCCTCCCTCCTCTCCTCCTCCTCCATCATCTCATCATCATCATCATCATCATCATCATCATCATCATCATCTCATCATCATCATCATCATCATCATCATCATCCTCTTCCCCCTCCTCCTCCTCCTCCTCCTCCTCCTCCTCCTCCTCCTCCTCCTCCTCCTCTTCCCCCTCCTGTGAGAAGGGGCGAGCCTCCTGAGAAAATGCGGAAGTTCCCTGGACTTCCGAGAGGCCGCCGGAGTGCCTTCCCCCAAGACTCAGAAGACCTCTCAATGGGCGCGAGGGCTTCTGAGAAGGCCCGCCGCCTTCTGGGAAGGCCTTCTCCTCCTTGCTTTCTGGGGAAAACAAGAGGTACCGATACCACTAACTACTCCCAGGAGCTCTCCCAGGGTGGTGCGCTCTGACCAGGATTTCGAAGCACATCCAGCGGTGGCGACGAGGGCCTCCCGCGAGGCCGAAGAAAGAACAACAAGAAAAACGGGCGAATGGGTAGCAGTATGAGCATATTTTCCCAGATCCCTGATGCCATGATCTTTTCAAAACGTTGACCCCAGGGGCCTCGACCTATTCCCCGGGACCGGTCTTTCATCCTGAGTCGATGATGACCGTCCCGAGGCCCAGTGACTTGTTCAGGGGTACCTTTTCCCTATCACTCGCCGCTGAGGCGCGCCGCGGGAGTCGTCCAGCTCGCAGGGGCCAGCGGCGCCGTCTTGGGGGGGGGCCAGCGCCGATCCAAGAAGTCTGCTCGGAGCTCCGAACACGCACGTGTATCTGCCAAGCCTCTTCTTCCCCGAAGATTGGCAGCGCGGCGCCACCGCGCCCACGATCGCGCGCTCCGACTCCTGGTGGGCTTGTTTTCAGCCGCCACCACCATAAGAAGGAGGGGGAGGGGCTCCTCCTCCTCCTCCTCCTCTTCGTCCTCCGCCTCATCCTCAACATCCTTCCCCCCTCCAGTCTATGGTGGTGGCGGTGGGAAACAAGCCCATGAACTCCGACGTGTCGCGGGAGTCGTCCAGCTCGCAGGGGCAGGCGGCGCAGGCGGCCACGTCGGTGGCCGCGGAGGGGTCCGCCGCCGGGCAGGTGGGAGCGTTGCCCCTGCAGTGCACGCGGCTCTCGAAGGAACCCGTGTCCTCGCAGGGGCCACCAGGGGGCACACAGAAATCCCACCAGCCCTCTGGGTGTACGTAGGTGGTTCCGGGACTTTCCTCTTCCATCTTCCCTTCTTTCCCGTCGGGGAGGGGTTTACCCCTCCCCCTAACCCCCTCCCCTGGACTTTGACGGGGGGGGCCGCTGGTAGTTAGAGCGTCCAAAACGGCCTCGGCGAGGAAGCCAAAATCATCGGTTTTACTAGGGTTTTGGCCCCAGTTTGGCCTCTTGGGGGGGCAGGGCTAATTAACCCCACCCTCTTCTTTGATCGATCTCCTCCAAGATGGCCCCAAGAGGCGCCCAGGAGGCCCCAAGAGGCTTCCAAAAGGCCTCCAAGAGGCCCCAAGAGGCCGCCATGAGGCCCCAAGAAGCCCCCAAGAGGCTCCAAGAGGCTCCCAGGATGGTTCCAAGAGGCCTCCAAGAGGCTCCAAGAGGCCGCCATGAAGCTTCCAAGAGACCCCCAAGAGGCCCCAAGAGGCCTCCAACAGGCCCCCAAGAGCCCCCCAAGAGGATCCCAAGCGGCCTCAAGAGGCCCCCCCGAAGCACCCAAGACGCCCAAGAGCCCCCATTGACAGCCAAGAGACCCCCAAGACGTCCGAAGAGGCTTCCAAAAGGCTTGCAAGAGGCATCCGAGCGGCATTCAACCATCCACCCAGCGTCATCATTCTCCTCATCCCTCCTTCGCTCGGTTCCTCGCCACCCCCTCATCTATCCATCTGGCCTCCTCTTCCGCCTCATCCTTTGCACGGATTGGCTGTCCCTCTCGTTGCTCACCCACTTCCCTGAACTCTTCAACTTGCCTAGACATCGTTTCTGGATGGGCTGGTGGGGACACGCGAAGCGTCAAGAATTTACACACTCCTCCTCCTCCTCCTCCTCCTCCTCCTCCTCCTCCTCCACCTCTTCCTCAACCTCCTCCTCCTCCTTCTCCTCCTCCTCCCCCCCCCTCCTCCTTCTCCGCCTCCTCCTCCTCCTCCTCCTCCTGCTCCTCCCCTCCTCCTCCTCCTCCTTCTCCTCCTCCTCCTCCTCCTCAAGCTCCTCCTCCTCTTCTCCTCCTCCTCCTCCTCCTCGCCTCCTCCTCGCCTCCCCCTCCCGCCCTCCCCTCCTTCTCCTCCTCCCTCCCCGTCCCCCACTCCCCTCCTCCCCTCCTCCTCTTCCCCCTCCTCCTCGTCTCCTCCTCCACCTCCTCCTCCTCCTCCATCCTCCTCCTCCTCCTCCTCCTCCTACCTCCTCCCTCCCCCCTCCTCCTCCTCCTTCCGCCTCCTCCTCCTCCTCCTCCTCCTTCTCCTCCTCCCGCTCTCCTCCTCCTCCTACTCCTCCTCCTCCTCCTCCTCGCCTCCTCCTCCTCGCCTCCTACTACTCTCCCTCCCCTCCTCCTCATCCTCCTCCTCCCTCCTCCCTCCCTCTCCTCCTCCTCCTCCTCCTCCTCCTCCTCATCCTCCTGCTCCTCATCCTCCTCCTCCTGCTCCGCTCCTCCTCCGCCTCCGCCTCCGCCTCCGCCTCCTCCTCCTCCTCCTCCTCCCTCCGCCTCCTCCTCAACCGCCTCCCTCCTCCTCCTCCTCCTCCTGCTCCTCCTCCTCCTCCTCTTTCCCCTCCGCCTCCTCCTCCTCCTTCCCCTTCGCCTCCATCCTCTTCCTCTCCTCCTCCTCCTCCTCCCTCCTCCTCCTCCTCCTCCTCTCCTCTCCCTCCTCCTCCTCCTTCTCCTCTCCTCCTCCTCCTCCCCTCCTCATCATCATCATCATCATCATCAGCATCATCATCATCATCATCATCAGCAGCACATCAGCATCAGCATCAGCATCAGCATCAGCATCAGCATCAGCATCAGCATCATCATCATCATCATCATCATCATCATCATCAGCATCATCATCGTCATCATCATCATCATCATCATCATCATCAGCATCATCATCATCATCATCATCATCATCGTCATCATCATCATCATCACCATCATCATCATCATGATGAGCAGCATCATCAGCATCGGCATCAGACTCAGCATAAGCATAAGCATCAGCATCAGCATTCGCATCATCATCATCATCATCATCATCATCATCATCAGCAGCATCAGCATCAGCATCGGCATCCTAATCAGCATAACCATAAGCATTAGCATCAGCATCAGCAGCAGCAGCATCAGCATCAGCAAACCCATAATCAGCATCAGCATCAGCATCATCATGGTCGTCATCATCATCATCATCATCATCAGCATCATCATCATCATCGTCATCATCATCATCATCATCATAATCAGCATCAGCATCAGCATCATCATCATCAGCAGCATCATCAGCATCAGCATCAGCATCAGCAGCATCATCATCATCAGCATCAGCATCAGCATCAGCATCAGCATCAGCATCATCATCATCATCATCAACATCATCATCATCATCATCAACATCATCATCATCATCATCATCATCATCATCATCATCATCATCATCATCATCATCATCATCATCATCATTTCTCCGCCTCCTCCTCCTCCGCCTCCTCCTCCTCCGGCTTCTCCTCTTCCTCCCCCTCCTCCTCCGCCTCCTCCTCCTCCTCCTCCTCCTCCCTCCCTCCTCCTCCTCCTCTTCCTCATCTGCCTCCTCCTCCTCTTCCTCTCCCTCCTCCTCCTTCTTCTCCTGCTGTAGTCCTAAAGATCCGACGCTGCGAACAAAACTGGAGCGGCGGCTTTTTAGCCGTTGTCGGCCTCCAGGGGCTCTCGCAAGGCCTACCGTCCAACAACGTCTCAGTACGAAAATCCAGCCCCAGGGGAGTGGTCCGGACCTCCTTGGGCATACCAAGATGCACGCACATTCCAAGACAGGACTGTCAATAGATGGTCCATACTTCCTGGATCTTCCCTGCCGGCTCATGAACAGCCGCGTTTCTTGGCGTCTGTGAATGCATTTGTCCCTCCCGAAACCTGGAACTCCGCCAGCCGCACGTTGCCCGGCTGCTCCCACACCTCCAGGATGCGCTGGCGGCGCGCAGCAGGGGGGCACGGCGAGGTTGAGGGGGGTGACGCTTGGGCGCTCTCAGACTTGGTGAGCTTGTTTTCCACCGCCACCATCATAAGTAGGAGCGAGAGGGGGTCCTCCACCTCCACCTCCTCCTCCACCTCCTTCCCCCTCCAACTTATGGAGGTGGTGGCGGTGGTGGTGAAAAGCAGGCCCATCAAGACTGGCAACTGCCACGTCATATGAATGACCCCCCCCAGCATCGGAGAAGGCTGCTGCCAGATACCTCGAAGGCCGTTCCCTCTCCAGGAGGCCCCTGGTCAGGGCCCTCCCCTCAGGGTTCTCCACCTCCTCCTCCTCCTCCGCCGCCGCCGCCGCCCCTCCTGCTCCTCTTCCTCCTCCTCCTCCTCCTGCTCCTCCTCCTCCGCCTCCTGCTCCTCCTTCTACTCATGCTCCTGCTGCTCTTTCTCCTCCTCCTCCTCCTCCTCCTCCTCCTCATTATCCTCCCCCTCCTCCCCCCTGGAAACCACATCGCGAAGGTCCGCGCGGTGCTCCCGGCTCGTCGCCGGCCCCACCTGGCCTCTCCCAGCAGGGGCGGCGCCAGAGGCGCTACCAAGAAGGCTGCACGCCGATCCGAAACAGCCGTGCGGACCTCCGTTGCTGTAGACAATGTCATTTCCTCTCCCTCGACGCTTCTTCCCCTGGGGCTGTTCTTCCACCCGCCCTCGGCTCGGGCGCACGCTAACCTGGACTACGGATCCGTGCATCTGGCGCGCGGGCGAGATCGGGGAAGGTGCCCCCCGCAGCATGCCGCCCATGCCGTCTCACTCAGCAACGCAACGCGCAGACTCCGCGTGGAAGCGGGACCCGTGGCTAACCCGCGCGCCTTGATCATTGTATCATTGTTTGCGCCTCCTCGAATCTCGTCTCTCGGCCAGCCAGCGATCCCGTGGATACGCGGTCGCACGCGTACGTTCCGCGCGGGCCGTCCGCGAAAAAGCGCCTCATCTCCGCGGGGTCGCGGCGGCCAAGAGCCCGGCCCGCGAGGCCGCGGAGAACGGATGTGTACGCGACTCGGCCACGGCCCTCGGATCTCCTCGAGAAGCCACCCCCTCTGCCTGCGGGCGGGCTGCCCTGACTGCCAGCCCCCCCCCCCTTCGTAGGAGCAAGGGGAAACGACACCACCGCCACCCGGAACCACCAGCGGGAGGCGGAGTGCCCGTGTGCCCCCCCCCACCCCCTCGCTCGAGACCTGGAGGGGCATTGTGGACCTCACTGCTGGAGGTGGCCCCCCCGAGGGAGAGCGCGCGGGGCGAGGGGAGGGAGGAGGGAGTGGGGAGGGAGTCGAGGGAGGAGGGGGAGGGGGAGGGAGCGGGAGAGGAGGAGGAGGGAGGAGGAGGAGGAGGAGGGGGAGGGAGGGAGGGAGGGAGGGAGGGACGGAGAAGGAGGAGAAGGGAGGAGGGGGAGGGGAGGATGGGAGGAGGAGGGGAGTGGGGAGGGAGGGGGGAAGAGGAGGGATGGGCAGGGAAAAGGAGGATCCCGCCTCCCTGCGGGGCGCGGCGGACGCATGAGCCGCCCCGCCAGGGAGCGCCTGCCCCGCTCTTCCCTCCCTTTCGCTTCCGGGGCGCGTCCTGCGGGACCCCGTCAATTTACACCACCACCACCATCATTCCCCTTCTCCCTCTTCAACCCTCGTCTTCCTCACCTTTCATGGGAGAGGTTGGGGGTATGATGGTGAGGGTGGTGGTGGTGGTGGTGGTGGTGGTGGTGGTGGTGGTGGTGGTGGTGGTTGCTTTGGTGACTTTGGTAGCTTTGGTGGTGGTGGTGGTGGTGTGTGCCACTGGGCCATGTAATTACGACCTTGCGGTCGCTTCTCCCTCCCCCAATCGCTCGAACCCGCCCCCAGCTGCAGCGCGCCCCCAGCCGTGCGGTCCCCGCCTCCTGCGGCGGGCGGCTCCAGGCGGCACAGCAGCCGCCCCTCCAGGGGGGAACAGAAAGCTGCCCCGCACCCCGTGATGCAGGGGCGGGCGCCGCGAACATCTTCGTCGAGCCACTGCAGACACCCCAAAAGACCAGCCATGGAAGGGCGGCCTTGAGCCTAGACCCCCAGAGACCCTCCAGAACGGCTCAACTCAAAGCAGACGCCCTCCTTCCCAGACCCCCGACGTCTTGACTTCGCATGACATCGAACCCCTGGGGCCTCGACCCATTGCCCAGGGCCGGCTTCTCTTCCCGAGTCGTCTTTTTGACGGCCCCGAGGGCCGGCAAGGGCCCCCTGGGGCCGAACATAGCGAACCACCTCCCGTCATGAATTTTTCATAACGCGGAGGGGGTCTGGGTTTTAAGCTGACATCCGGAGTACCCCCCTGCCGCCACGCCACGGGCCTCTCCCTGGGGTGCGCTCCACGAGGAGGCAGCTCCCGTGGCGGTTCGAGGGCGATCTACGACGGGCAGCGGCCCCGAGGTCCAGCGCCGCTTGAAGCCCTATAGGGACCAGCGCCTTCTTCTCCCCCTCGTCCTCCTCCTCCTCCTCCTCCTCCTCCTCATCCTTTTCCTCCTCCTCCTCCTCCTCCTCCTCCTCCTCCTCCTCCTCCTCCTCTCCTCATCATCATCATCATCATCATCATCATCATCCTTCGCCCCCTCCCCCACCCTCCCCCTTCTCCACACCCTCCTCCCCTCCTCCTCCTCCTCCTCCACCTCCTCCTCCTCCTCATCCTCCTTCCCCCCTCCCCCTCATCCTCCCCTCCTCCTCACCCTCCTCCCCTCCTCCTCCTCCTCCTCCTCCTCCTCCTCCTCCTCCTGTCCACAAGAAACCCCAACCCTTAGAACCCATTTTTGTTTGGTGTGGGAACGTCACGCTTTCCATCGCAAAACCAGCGAAACCCAAGAGGCCTTCGGCACCCTAGAGGCAAGCAGGGTGTGTCTTTGCATGGACATTCACTGTATGTTGTTCCCATCGTACTTAAGGACCATATCCCCCAAACAATTCCGAACACCCAGAAAAAAATATACCAAAAGAGCGTCGAACGAGCATCGCCTCCCAGAGCCCGACCCGTGAAAACCCTCCAGTTTGGGTACTTTCCTGGTGCTCGAAATTATTTCTGGTGATCAAGGCTAGTCATAAGCCGAAACCTATAGACACCATCTTTATGCGTCATCTCTCGAGCGGCATCGATCTGTAATGGTCACTGGGCCCTAAGCGGGGCGAAGACTCCCAGCGCGACAGAATAGCCGAATCCAGATCTCAGGTGGAGGAGCGGCAGTATCGTGTTCATGGACCCAATGCAGTGGGGATGAACAGTGCCAGCTTCCCAAACGAAGATAAGGGGACTCCGCCACGGGAAGCACCAGCCATGGAGGAGAAGGAAGAGGAGAGGGAGGAGAAGGGAGCAAAGACCAACGCGGTGCGAGGGCATCCCCGATGGCTCTGCCAACCATCAGTGTGAACACGCAACGGACGTAACGGAGGAAGGGGTGGAGCAAAAGAGGAAGGACAGCAGACGAAATAGCGAGCAGCGGTATCTAGAGGAACAAAATGAGGCTTGAACATACTTTCTCGGAGGTCCGCGCAAATCTCTCAGATCGGGGCTGGACCCCACAGCGCGCCAGGGGCCGCGCCAGAAGCGCCGCCGAGGGGGGGCCCAGCGCCGATCCTAGGAATCCACGCGGAGCTCCAGAAATGTATGTCTGCGCCGTGTCTGTACCTCGAGAGCGGCGGTATCGGTACGGCCGGCCGTCGGCCGTCATAACATCCTCCAAGAACACGAGACCCTCCGCCGGCCAAACGAAGGAACCCTTCGAAATCACGCAAGATCCAGCGGTGGCGAAGGGGGCCTCTCGGGAGGCCCGAGAGAGGCGAAAGCGACGGAAGGGTAGAGGTGTAGGTACCTCTTCCCGAGCATTTTCTCAGGGTGGAGGGCTCAAGGTGACATCCATGTGGGCCTCTGCACCTCGGAAATCAGTCCGTCTTGTGACCCCTCACCTCTTGCACATCCAGGCCTCGGAAATCAATCGAAGCGGCACTTCAGATGTCATCATGTGCCCCGGAAACGGCAGGGCCGTTGTTTCACCGTTTCCAAAAAATGTCCATTGAAAATGGAAACGGCAAAAAAACGGTGACCCGAAACGGCAAAAGAGCGGCCCCAAGATCGGAACTGGAGCCGGAACCGGTAACAAAAACAGCGACGGAACCGGTAACAAAAACGGCGTCGGAACCGGCAAAAAAACGGCAAAACGGAACCGGTAACAAAAACGGCCCTGTCGTTTCCAGGGCCCACCAAGTGCCCCCCCCCCAAAGACGTTGCTCGGCCTTCCTCCTCTGGGCCTCGCCGCGGTGCGCTCGCAGGCGCTCCCCGCGGGCGTGGGCCGCCGCCAGCGCCAGCGCCAGCAGGCAGCGCGGCGGCGCCGGCGGCGCCGCGGGCTTCATTGCGGGGGGGGGGAGGGGATGGCCGCAGGGCCTGCGGCCCTCGGGGCTCGGGAGGGCGCGGCCCAGAGGCGCTCTCGAGCACCAGTGAAGGCCGCTTTTGTCGGTAGATTCTCACTACCTGACTTGCATGGAGGGGGATGCGGGCGAGTTTTAAATCCATATCCAGTGAGGCTTGGACTCTCTTGGAGGGGGCGCCACAAGGACGAGGCGCACTGGATATGGATAAAGATCGAACCTCTAGGGACCGGATGTACATCCATATCCAGTGCACCTCGGGTTTCTTGGAAACAAGCCCGAAACTCCAAGCTGCAGTGGATATGAATTGTTGCCCGTAGGGGGGGGGGGCTGGACTGGGCTTCTGGCATTCACGCAAGCTGGGACTCACTGGCACGCCTTTTTTGCCCAGCAATGCTTGGGAAGGCGCGGCGAAAAGTGTGTGGTGGGGGGGGGGACCGCCATGCAAGTGAGCGTGTCTGACTCTACAGGAAAACACCCTCTAGTAGACGAGGGGGAGGGGGGCGGGACGGAACGGCACAGAACGCTCGCACACGCGCGGGAGCGCGGCCCTGTCTAAGGACGGAGCGGAGGCGCCATGGCGCCAAGAGGTCAGAAAAAACGTTGCTCTTGTTAGCTGGATCGCACGTCCCTCCATCAAGTGCATTGCTGACTCGACACCGTGAGTGCGTACCTTCTGCGAGTTTGCGTGCAACTTCTCGTGTTCCAGCCATGGTAAATCAGTTTCCGGATGATCGAGCAGGATGGCAAGCGGGGGAGAGGAATGGCGGCGCGCCGAGGGCGGAGGTGTGGGGGGAGGGAACCCGCCTTCTCAGAAGGCGCCGGGGTTTCTCAGGAGCCGCCTGGCCTTCCGAGAAAACCTCAAAGCTGCGGCCTAGGTGCAGTCAGGGCCCCGTAGACTAGGACACGCTGGACCAAATTCAACATCCCTCGAAGTCAATGCTTCCAGACGACGGCACGAAACAAAAACTGCACTGCAACACTCCTGGCACAAACCCTGGCACAGGCTCCAAAGGCTTGCAAGACACCCCCAGACCCAGGTAAGAACCCGACTCCTGCAGCGCAGCAAAAAAGAACTGCACTGGACGACCAAATCCGATGCTGCAGGAAACGGGGCCGTTTCCCCGACTTGGTCGGTTGGTCTTTTGGTTGGTCTGTGCTCTGGTTATTTGATTTGGGAATTGGTTGGTGTTCTGTGTCTTAGTGTCTGGTAGTGTCCTGATTGGTTTGCGTTCTGGTTTCCGAGCATTTGATCTAGGAAGCGATCCAGAAATGAAGGGGCCCTGGGACACACAAATAAATACACACGAATAAAAGGATCTCCCATATTTTCTAATATTTTCTGGGTTTCTGCCTTCCCCCGATTTCCCATATTTCCCGATATTTCCTCGAGAATCGACGATTCATTGTGTCTGTGTGCTTTTTCCCTCCTGAGAGAAAGCCGGAGGCCCGCTGAGCCTTCTGAGAAGGCCCGCTCCCTCTGCCTTCCCCCCCTGGTTGCGCCGCTGAGAGAGAGGGGGAGGGCGGCGGGGAGGCTAGGAGCCTGAGGGATTTCGACAACGAGGGGGATAGCGTTCGGTCGGGCTTGTCCCCCTTACAGGGGGATTTTAACGAAAAGTCAAAAATCAAAATACTCAAAAATAGTCCCCAGACTATTTTTTGACTAGTTTTGAATATTCCCCCTGTAGAGGGACAGGCCCGACTTAAGGATAACGACGACAGCGAGGATGAGGCGCGGGGAGCATGTGGATACAGCCGGGTCCGAGTGGAGGGGACACGAGAGAGGACACGAGACCCCTCCAAGGGCCACAGTGCTATAGGAATGTAAGAGGGCATGGATCGCGAAGCTCAGGATACGAGGGTACCCTCGATTTGGCAGGGTCGACCTGCCAATCAGTCTCGACTGCAAGAGGGGTGACGAGAGAAAGTAAGCATGGAACGGAGGGTGGCAAAGAGACGAAGCAGCAACAGGAACAGGGCGAGAGATAGGAGCAAAAGAGCTGGGATCTGGATCGAGGGATACGCTACCCTGGCCTGTCCTGCCAGGAGGGCGCGAGTGCAGATCCTGCGCCCTGGAACGAAGTCGGCAGACTGAGCAAGAGCGGGACGGAGCAGAGAGAGGGGAGGCCTCCGGGAGCCCAGCTCAACCTGATCAGAGCCCCAGTAGTTCCATGAGAGTTCGAGTGGAGGAACTACAGGCCTCGGAACCAAAATAGCGAACACTCGTGCCACATTCATCTGTCAACGCCTCCCCCTCCCCTCAATGTTCGAAGTTGGCGGTGGGTCTGATGAGTTGCACCTCGACCGCAGTCTCCCCCGCGCGTGCCAACTTTGAGTTTGGGGGGCAAGGGGGGTGTTCACTAATTGTTTCCCTCTACCTTATGTTTGACAACTAACGCGTTGTCAACGCCACTGCTCGCGCAATCACCCCGCCGTCCCAACCGCAATCTGCTTGGCAACACATGTGCAATCAAGATCGCGGTTGCCGATCAGAATTTGCTGGGGCATCCGTGCGGCCGCGCTGGTGCGAGGAAGTTACTGCACAAGGCGGCCAGCTTGTTTGGCACAGCTCAGGTGGCCGAGATGGTGTTTACAGATGGGAGCTCCCCAGTGCGTCACAAACGCCGTGCTGGTGCGAAGGCACTTCAGTGCGGGTCGGTGACTCGGGCGGGCGCGATGTCAGGATGACGTCGACATCGGCGGTAACGATGGTGATAGTAGCGTTGGTGGTGGCAATGATGATGACAACGACGGCACGGCCAATGACGGAGCCGGTGCTGGTTACGACGACGATGACGATGTCCATGTTTCGGTGATGAAGCTGAGTGTGCTAATGATGGGGGCGATGACGGCGACTGGCGGTGGCGATAACGGTTATGATGCGATGGCGCTGATGCGGGTGATAGTGAGGAAGTGCGCGAGCAGAACTTCGAGACATGTTTTGTTGAAGTGGCACGTGCCGTTCCACATGAGTGTGAACAGCTCTATATGCTTCGAACGCCAATAGTTGTGGAGATTTCAACGCGCACGCGTGGCGGCGAGCGCGTGTGTCCGCATGGTATTATGTGATGCGGATTCGTGTACTGGGCGCATGCTAGATCAGACCATATGCGGCCCCTGGTGAGATGAGCATGCGGGTTCGGGACGAGATTGGTACCACTATATGGTTATGCTGTGACGTAAGCAAGTTCGCACGGGCAGAATATCTGCAACATTCTTGCTGGAACAGCTACAAGACTTGATAATGTGGTTGAGGCTAGCATCTTGAAATGCACGCAAGACCAGCATGTAGGGGATGAATTCGACATGCGCGCGCACGTAGACGCCATTGTCAAATCAGATTCCGGGATAAGCGACGGTGCGCGCATGGTGGCACTCGACAGAGACGATTGGGGGCGTGATACTGGCCCGGCTGTGATGTTATGGTTTCAAATGAAAAGTGAAAGATGAGGCATAATCATGTGTAGGTAGGAGTGGCCCAAAACAAATCGATAAGCGTGGGCCGGGGAGGGTTGTGAAACGAACCTGCCGACCCCTCGGGGTTCATCGGCGTGTGACATGCGTTCTCCTCACCAAACCCCTCCCTTGAACAGGGACCGACCGTCCTGGTATTCCTATAATCCTACCAATAAACAAGGTTCGCAGCACATTAACCCGATGTGCTAAAACAAGACAGTCCCAGCCAGAAATGTTATGATAACAATATGTAGAAACCACGATAAGTTCTTAACATATCGTTTGGTGAGGCAATAGGCGAGCCCGGACGCTTCGCCACTGCTTGACTCCCCCGAGAGCCCGATCCTTGTCGACTTTGACGGGGGATCCGCTGGGGACCGCTCGAGCGCAAGGCCTCAAAGGCGTCCAAGACGGCCCCTAAACAAACAAAGAGGGCCCCACATAGCCCCACAGACGGTCTCCAAGAAGCTCCAAGATGCCCCCCGTAAGCTCCCATGCAGCGACCGAAAAAAAGGCACCAAAAAACCCCAGGAAGTTGCCCAAGAGGCCAACAGAAACAACACACACACACACACACCACGACCGCCCGTTCCCCAAAGGGTCGGCGGTGTGGCGTAAGCCCAGGAATCCACGTCCGGAAGTGACGTGCTGAGCGGCAGCGTTTTCCGCGGATGCTGAAATGCAGTGGATCCAATGTGTCCGATGTTTGCACGATTCCCACATAATGTATTGTGTTACATTATTATGTTTCCCCCCCTAACCCCCCTCTGAAATCGCGCCACATGAACGGACCAAGATGCCCCCCCCCTTTCGGGGCTTTAAAAACCGACAGAAACGTATGAAACATCAACAAGTTCGACCTCTTGGGCCTCTTGGGGCTCCAAGAGGGCCTCAAGATGGCCCAAGATGACCCCAAGACGGCCCAAGACGGCCCCAAGACGGCCCAAAGATATCCCCAACGGGGGCCCACGAGGCCCCCAAGACGGCCCCAAAAGCTCCAAGGACGGCCCAAAAGGGCCCCAAGAGCGCGCACAACTGCGCCTCCAGAGGCCGAATTCATTGATTTTTCCAAAATTCATTGAGGCCTTTAACTGCTTAACAATATTTTCACAAATCCGTGACGGCCCAAGCAGCTTCCAGAATCGCCCCAAAACAAAACCAAAAAGCCCCCAAGAGGGCCCCAAGACGGCCCAGGAGGGCCCCAAAACGGCCCAAAGAGGCCCCCAAGACGGTCCAAGAGGCCGCGAAGACGGCCCAAGAGGACCCCAAGAGGGCTCCAATGCGGCCGCGAGAAGCCCCCAGGACAGCCTCCGAAGGGGGCGAAACGGCGCAAAAGCGCCAAGACGGCCGAAGACGCCCCGAAGAGGCCCCAAGAGGCCCCCAAGAAGCCTCCAAAAAGCCCCCCAGGAGCCTCCAAAAAGCCCCCCAAAGGCCACACAACGACTGGAGTGTAATGTAATTTTCCCCCCTCTGGGCGAACTACGGCGCAGCGCCAGCCAGGTGGAAGTTGGTCACTGCGGCGCCCATGATTAGAGCCGGCGCTGGAAGGGAAGATGGGGAGGGTGTATGAAAAGGAAGGGGGAAAGGCCCCAAAGAAGCTCCCAGGAGGCCTCCAGGAGGCCCCCAAGAGGCTCCCAAGAGGCCCCGCCACGACGTGACTGTACGTGCTCCGGACGTGCACCCCGCGAAGCGAGAGGAATCCACGTCCGGAGGTGACGTGCTGAGCGGCAGCGTTTTCCGCGGATGCTGTAATGCAGAATATCCAATGTGTCCAATGATTGCATAATTGCCGCGTGTTGTGCTGTGTTACAGTATTATGTATCCCCCCTAACCCCCCCCTGGGAGCTGCGCCACAGGAACGGACCAAAGTGCCCCCCCCCCTCCTGGGGCTCAAAAACCATCCAAAACCTAAAGAAAATCTACCCCAATGACAGCCCAAGAGGGCCCCAAGAGCGCCCACCATTGCGCCTCCAGAAGCCAAAATCATTGATTTCCCTATGGTTTGGTAATCGTTTAGCGTTCTCGCCTTGGCGGCCCAAGCAGCTTCCCGAATCGCTCCAAAACAACCCCAAAAACCCCCAAAAGGGCCCCAATACGGCCCAGGAGGGCCCCAAGACGGCCCAAAGAGGCCCCCAAGAAGCTCCGAGAGGCCCCTATGACGGCCCAAGAGGACCCCAAGACGGCCCCAAGGCGGCCGCGAGAGGCCCCGAAGACGGCCTCCGAAGGGGCGAAACGGCGCAAAAGCGCTCCAATACGGCCAAAGACGCCCCCAAGAGGCCCCAAGAGGCCCCCAAGAGGCCCCCAAGGGGCCCCAAAAAGCCCCCAAAGGGCCTCCAATGTGTCTTCAAGAAGCCCCCGAAAGGCTCCCAAGAAGCCCCCCAAAGGCAACACAGCGACTGGAGTGCAATGACATTTTTCCAGCCTGGGCGAACTGCGGCGCAGCCCCAGCCAGGTGGAAGTTGGTCGCAGCGGCGCCCATGATTAGAGCCGGCGCTGGAAGGAAATATGGGGAGAGAGTATGGAAAGGAGGGAGGGGGTAGAGGCCCCAAAGAAGTCACCAAGAGGCCCAAGGAAACTCCCAGGAGGCCTCCAGGAGGCCCCCGAGAGGCTCCCAAGAGGCTCCGCGACGACGTGACTGTACGTTGTCCGGTCGTGCACCCCGCGAAGCGAGAGGAATCCACATCCGGAAGTGACGTGCTGAGCGGCAGCGCGTTCTGCGGAGGCGATAGTGCAACGTATCCAATGCATCCAATCGTTGAATAATTGCCACATAGTGTATTGGTTTACATTATTATGTCTCCCCCCCGCCACTCCGCCGTACCAAGGTGGTGGCACCCTTTTCGGGCTCTCAAAACCTGTTCAAAAAAAACAATGGGAAATCGACGATTTGGGCCTCTGAGGCCTCTTGGGACTCCCACAGGGCCTCAACATGGCCCAAGATGGCCCCAAGACGGCCCCAACACGGCCCTGGATGGTCCCAAGAGGGCCCGTGAGGCCCCCAAGACGACTCAAGGGGGCCCCAAGAGGCTCGACAGAGCGCCTCCAGGAGCCAAAATCATTAATTTTCCGTTGGTGTTTGAAAGAATTTAGCGTCCTTGCCTTTTTCGGCTTTCAAAGGACCATGGCGGCCCAAGCAGCCTCCAAGAAGCCCTGAAGACGGCCAACGAGGCCCCCAAAGGGGCCCCAGGATTGCTCAAGAGGGCCCCGAGACGGCCAAAAGAGGACCCCAAGACGGTCCAAGGGGCCCCCAAGATGGCCCTTCTTCTTCCCAAGGTAGGCTCGAGGCGTCTCAAGGTGTGTGTGAAACTTCATCCAAGGGAGCCCTGAGGGGGCCGCGAGAGGCCTCCAAGATGGCCTCCGAAGGGGCCAGACGGCGCGAGAGAGCCCCAAGCCGGCGCAAGACGTCAACAAGAAGCCCGAAGAGGCCCCAAAGCGGCCCCAAAGACGCTCCAAGAAGCCCCCACGAGGCTTTCAAGAGGCTCCCAAGAGCCCCCCATGAGGCCGCCCAGAAGCCCTGGGGATTGCAGGACGAAGCGGCACGCACGCGCGGCAGCCGAGCAGGTCACGCCAACCAACGCTCACACCGTGGCCCACACCTTCCACATTCGAACACTTTGCTTCCACAGCGGCGATTACGGCCGCGAGAGGCCCCAGACAGGCCTCGAGAGACCGGCCTCCGAATGGGCCACACGCCGCAAGAGCGCCCCAAGACGGCCCAAGACGCACCCAAGATGGCCCAAGAGGCCCCAACGAAACCCACTGTTGAAGAGGCCCCGAGAAGCCCCCAAGACACCTCCAAGAGGCCACAAAGAAGCTCCCAAAAGGCCCCGCAACGACTGACCTGTGCGTGCTCTGGACGTGCACCCAGCGAAGCGAGTGGAACCATCTTTTGAAAACGAATGTTGTTGACCCCCTTTCCTCGTAAGAGGAACAGGCGTAAATAGGAATGAATTGCATGTGCTCCACACAGTAAGACGGGATACTCTGATGACTCATTGTCTGTTTCTCCCACTCCTCCCCTTGGGAGGCGCCGGAGGAGGGGAAGGCCCCTGAAAGACGTGGGGTCCAATGGTGTACCGCTCTAGCAGAGGCGCTGAGATGATGTGGGATACAGTCGAAACGCTGTCATGAGGAACCTTAAATAAGGAACGAGGCTCCTTTTTTCCATAAGTTAAACTTCTATCTCGCATAGAACGCCTAAGGAGAGCCTAAGACAAGCTGTAAAGAAATTAAGGAACACTGAGCCCCTCCCCAGCGAAAAGGGTTCCTTCTTCAGCGGCCCGACTGTAGCCATACTTCTACCATGCGGAGCGCGTGGCAGGAAAACGAAGAGACTTGTCCGGCCAAGGCGGGCCTGGGGAAAACCAGGTTCCAGCACATGAGTCTCGGGAACGACCCGGAAACCCGAGCCCCAGCCTGAGCCCAGAGCGTTCGGTGGCAACTCATGGGAGCCTCCCATACCACACTGTCGACGCATGCGGGTCGACGCTAATGGAGGCTAATGAACGCTAGTCGGCGCTAACCGACGCTAATCGAAGCTAAATCGACCTTACTCGACGCTGAGTCGGCACTGAGTCGGCGCCACCTCATCGACTTCCAGACGCTCATCGGCGCTCATTGACGCTACAGACGGCATCCAGAGGGCATGCCAGGCTCCCATGACTTGCTACCGACGGTCCTAATTTCAGCGTCGTGTCATTAACCAGATAACCAGAAGGTGGGGAAATCAAAAGGTACCGATACCGCTACTCCCCGGACCTCTCCCAGGTTGCGTTCTGACCAGGATTTCGAGGCGAATCCAGCTGTGACAACGAGAGCCTCCGAGGCCGGAAAAGGGAAAAACGGGCGAAGGGTAGCGGTATCAGTACCTTGTCCTCCTCTGAGAGGGGAAATTCATCAAACATGAGGGACATAGCCTCGGAGACCGAGCCCGACCTAGACCCAGGAGCCGCTGCGGACATCCTTCCGCTCCCCCGTCGCCTTCCGCCGTCCACTCGCGGGAGCCTCCCGTGCCATCCTGTCGGCGCCTACGAATCGACGCTCATCGACGCTGAATCGACGCTGATTGACGCTAAATCGATGCTAAATCGACGCCACATCGAGGTAAATCGAAGCTGACCGACGCTAGATCGGCGCTGCCTCATGCACTCCCAAACGCTCGTGGACGCTAATCGACGCTGAACTCAGAATTACGCGGCTATACAAAACTCCCATGATTTGCTACCGAACTGCCCCCTATCCATCCGCATTGACGTCTGCCCCTGTTCCTCGCTATTCTGACGATCCGCCTCGTCTTTCTCGTGTTCCTCCTGCTCCTTCTCCTCCTCATCGTTCCCTTTCCGCGGCGTCACCTCCCACCTCCTTCTCCCATCCAAGTCCTCCTCGCCTTCTGCTCCGGCTGCCATTCCTTTTTTTCCAACCTCCCACTCCTTGTCCTCCCCTTCCGCTTATCGCCCCCCGATCCTCAAACGAAAAAGGTTGTCCGAGAGTTGCCTCTGCACTTGATTGCATGTGTTGATCAGGCTGTCTTAGACCCTAAGCTTTTAAATACCCTCCATCCTTCCACAACTCATCACCAACGAACCAACGAAGCGACGTCTCGCAAGACATTTCTGTGCTACTGAACTCGCCCGTTGGGGAGTCGTCCGAGCAACGCGCGGGACTCTGTCCCGCCTGAACTCGAGGAGGACGGAGGGCGATGGGAAGAGAGGAGGGCGGATCGTCTTTGTGACCTGTTCTTTTGCGCACAACACGGCAAAACCGAGGTACACGGAGCGAGTATGCCGCATTCCAGAGCCCATCATGTATCTAGGACTCCTGGCACCACTCGAAACAGAATGCGGGCAAACGCATCCAGCGTGAGCCCGACCCGCAGACACATGCCTCGGGAAAATCAAACAGTTACTGAAAACATCATAAATTAGAAGGTCAGCCAGCGTGGACCCCAAATCTCGAGCTGTGGAGTGGAACTGAAAACAGTGTGGTGTGACCCATGTGGTGTATGCCGGTATCAGCTTAGGCTGCGCAAGCTGCGTGGTGTGAGCTCCGCGGTGTAAGCCATGCTAGCTACGTGAGAGAGATGGTGTGCAAAGCTGCTCTCGTGTCACACTGACCACGAGCCTCACGCCAGTGCCTTGAGGCTAACGGCTGCGATGGTGTGCAGGCTCTGCGGTGCAAGCTGTTCGGGAGCGGCCAAGAGGGGGGTGTCCAAGAGGGGGGGGTGCAAATCATGACCGGCGGCATGTGCGCGGCCCAGCGGGGGGGGCCAGCGACGTACTGAAGTAAGAAGAGGCGCCATGAGATCTGGGGAGATCTCATGGCCCCCGCCATGACATCCACCCGCCCCCTAGTCAGCCCCCCCCCTCTTTTCCGCTCCCGAGCTGAGTGGCGCAGGCTCTCGTGCGAACCCTGCGGTGCCAGCAGTGCGGCGCGGGCCCGACGGCCGGGCGCCGGGCGACGCCTCGACGTGCGCCCCCCTGCGCAGGGCCGCCCACGGGCGCCCCTCGGGCGGGCACCAAGGCCGAAGCCCCGACACGCCCCCCGAGCGCGCGGCGACCACAAAGCGCCCACGGGGCCCCCACCGGCTGGGCACCGTCCAACCACCCCGGCACGCGCATCCACTTCCTCAGGTAAGAGACGCACGCGGGCGCGAGCGCGCGGGGCACAAACTGTGGTGCAGGGCACGTGGAGCAAGCCATGCGGTGCAGCCGACGTCCTGCAGGCCGTGCGGTGCAATCTACGTGACGTACCCATGCCGGTCGATTCACAGATTGTGAGCTCCACTGCTCGTGCAGTCATCCCACCCTCCCACCCGCCACTTGTGTTGCAAAGCCCATGCGGCCGCGACTGCGGTGGCTGCTCGGCCCTGGCTGGCGCAACTCTGCGACCGCGCTGACAAGCGTAAGCTCGGGCACTGAGCGGACAGCTGGTTTGGCACAGCTGATGCGACCGCGATGGATATTGTCTATGGCAACGACGGCGATAACGATAATGATAGTAGTGATGGTGGTGGCGATGATGACGATGACGACGGCAAGGCCGCTGACGGCGCCGATGCTGGTGACGACGATGACGACGACGCCGCCCCGTCGCCGCATCGTCGCCGCCCGTCGTCTGGGCCTGGATGGCGGTCTGGCGGCTCCGTGCTCGCAGTTGCCGTCCCGTCGCCGCCCCGTCGCCGCCCGTCGCCACGATTGTACAACATAGATTGCACCACATAGATCGCACAAGATAGACAACTCCACCTAGGTTGCACTGCATAGGTTGCACCATGTCGAGCGAACCACATCGATCGCACGACATAGATTGCACAACATAGCTCGCGCCACACATATTGCACCACGCCGTCTGCACCGTATAGATTGGCAACATGGATTGCAACGCAACAATTTGCACGGCATTGATTGCACCAGGAAAAAAACTGCACAACATAGCACACCATAGACTGCAGGACCTTTTGTGTACAACGCAATTTGCACCTCGTCGATGGTACCGCATAGCCTGCGCACCATCGATTGCACCACTTCAATTGCATCGCGTAGATTGCGCAACACACAGCTCGCACAACATAGTTTGCACCACGAACATTGCACAACACAGATCGCACAACTTCTACTCAACTGCATTGCACCACGTAGACTGCACCACACAGTTTGCTTCACCCAAGTGGCACAACACATACTGCTAGAAGCACCGTGCTCGGGGCCCACGCTGGCCATCCCTTGACAGGGAACTGTGATACACCTCCCTGTGCCGTAGCGCTTGCGAATCGGGCTTCTCACTGCCAACGACTGGCGGGAAAATTGGAGAGCTGGGCTGGACACGTCCGTCGGGGCCAGACTTTGTGCCTCCCTCCGACCAGCAGCCAGCACGGCCCGCCGATGTACAGGCTTCGGGCACCGAAGAGCGACGGACGTATGCTGCCTGCTGCCAGGTGCGGAGGAGGGGGAGGTCCTCGAGGGGGCCACTAGGCGGGGAAAAGGTCCTCATGGGGGTCGCATGCTGGAAGGAGAGAGGATAAAGGGGGCCAGGGGCACACAAATCAACAGACACCCGGATCCCAGGATTGCCCGTACGTTCCTGCATGATTCTAGGTCTTCGTCTTCCCCCCGAGGGAGCGGGAGGAGAAGGAGGAGGAACTATGGATGCAGGGAGCCACGGATGCACATAACGAGGACCGAACGCAAGAGCCTTACCGCGAAACACAAGTGCCAAATACACCGTTGACTCGAGGAAGGGATCTAGTCTGTACCACTCCCGCACAGCAATGCAAACGTGAACTTTCACCAGGCTGCTTTCAACAGCTCAGGGGTCGCCTGTTACATTGCTGACAGCTGCCTACGCAGGCATTTTGCTCGCGAGGAACTCAACAATAGAGTAGCCTCCAGCGCTCTTCAGCATGCCTGACGACGACACAGCTGCACAGAAGTCCTCGACGTACTGCTTTGCGCGGTCAGGAAGCTTCAAGCCAATTGTTGACTCCACCGCTGGCTGCAAACCAGCAATCAGGAACGGCACAGCCTTGAAGTCGGCGATGCTGAGCTTGTCACCGTTCACGAACTTGCCCTGCAGGAAATGCTTGAGCCAGGCATCCAATAGCTCGCTGTACTTATCGTTCGCAGCCTTCTGGTCTGCTGGAGCTGAGGTGAACCCCAAAACGACGTACACGGTGTGGTAGTGGCCTTTCTCGTACACCTCAGTAGTGAAAGAGTCAATGGCGAAATCGATCTTGCCACACGCGACTGGGTCGCCCACAGGGTAGTACTCGGGCTTGTACTTCATCGCAATGTAGCGGAGAATGGCAGAAGACTCGCCGATGCTGACACCTCCATCCTTCATGGTCGGGATGTGGTGGAACGGGTTCATGGCCAGAAACTCAGGTTTCATCTGCTCCCCTTTCATGATGTCGCACATCTCCAGACCACCTTTCCCACAGTCCATGGCGAGCAAAACTGGACCCATCGTGTTCTGCGAGACTGGTAATCCGAACACCTTCACCTCACCCGAAGGTTCTGGTGTTGGCTCCGTGATATACTCCACCTTAGTGTAGCTGTCGACTGCTGCCTTCGCATCTGGCGCTTTGCTCGCGAGGAACTCAACAATAGAGTAGCCTCCAGCGCTCTTCAGCATGCCCGACGACGACACCGCTGCACAGAAGTCCTCGACGTACTGCTTTGCGCGGTCAGGAAGCTTCAAGCCAATTGTTGACTCCACCGCTGGCTGCAAACCAGCAATCAGGAACGGCACAGCCTTGAAGTCGGCGATGCTGAGCTTGTCACCGTTCACGAACTTGCCCTGCAGGAAATGCTTGAGCCAGGCATCCAATAGCTCGCTGTATTTATCGTTCGCAGCCTTCTGGTCTGCTGGAGCTGAGGTGAACCCCAAAACGACGTACACGGTGTGGTAGTGGCCTTTCTCGTACACCTCAGTAGTGAAAGAGTCAATGGCGAAATCGATCTTGCCACACGCGACTGGGTCGCCCACAGGGTAGTACTCGGGCTTGTACTTCATCGCAATGTAGCGGAGAATGGCAGAAGACTCGCCGATGCTGACACCTCCATCCTTCATGGTCGGGATGTGGTGGAACGGGTTCATGGCCAGAAACTCAGGTTTCATGTGCTCCCCTTTCATGATGTCGCACATCTCCAGACCACTTTTCCCACAGTCCATGGCGAGCAAAACTGGACCCATCGTGTTCTGCGAGACTGGTAATCCGAATACCTCGACTTTGCTTGGTGTCGGCGACGACTCCTTGACCGCGGGGTTCGCAACAGACTTCTTAGCTCCTGAGCTCGCACACACTCCCATGTTTGAGACTGTGTGCGCTTGTAAGCAAGTCCCCTGATCGGTCTCGGATCTGCTACCGGCGTGTAGCTCGAGCAGAAAACTTGAGCCAAAGGTCCACGGACTAACATTTCACAGGGATGAGGGGTGGTCGTCGATGATCGGTTGGGCGGGATGTAAAATGCAGCTTGGAAAATGAACGATGAGGCAGAATCGTCTGTTATTGGCAAGGTCCCAGGGCGTCATGGACAATCCGGGCTCGGGAGGGGGGTGGATTCGATCTGTCTTTTGGAAGGGCAGCTGAACATGGAGACGTCGAAATCGTCAACACCACTGCTCTCGCAAACACCCCAGTCTTCCACTTGAAAATTGTCTGACAAAACCGATGAGGCGACATGTTTGCACCAGATGGACCTGCGCAGCGCGTGAGCAACTATCGACTGCTTGTGGACTGAGAGCCGAGATAAACGGATTATATCACAGAATGGCGGTCTCCGAAGCAGAGAGTTAGCAAGAAACAGTGGCTGCTTCACGGATGGCGTTGCATTCTTACGACATTCGAATGCTTCAGAGATGCTGGAATCGGGTGTAGGTTCCATCCGAATGTTGTCCCATGAATCGCAGCATGCGGCGCAGATAAGCATTGATTCCTTCATGAAGGTTTTCATAGGCTGCGAGCCAATGTATCTTGGATGGTGACCTCGGAGGCTCAGAAACAAAATAGTGCTGACATATCGCACCACAGGGCCATAAGACGATTGACATATTCAAGCACGGTGGCCCCGACAACTGAGTGCCGCACACTGTTTAAGAGACGGTGGTCTTGGAGGCTGAGAACACTCGGCTCTTTCATGAATGTCGGTCACGATAGCAGATATTGAACGATGAAAAGTCAATGCAAATTGGCCACAGAGGCTAAGCAGCCGACTGTTCCAAAAATAATCGCCACGGAGGCTGAGGAACAGAGACAGTTTCGTGGACGGCAACTCTGAAAGCTGAATGTGGCCTGGACGCCGAGACCAAACAAATGGTAACCTGCGGCTGAAATGTATGGACAAGTTCGGGGATGGTTGTCTGCGTCTATGGCGCCGACGCCTTGTTGACTCTTTTCCAGACGCCAGTGTCTGAGCCAGGGAATAGCCGCCTTCGTGAACCGTAGTCCGTTGCGAGCTCCTCCTCGCCATCGCTCGAACGTCCATTCCCTGTTTTTTTTGGTTTCGTGCGTGTTTGTTTTTTTTCGCCAAATGATCAAGTATGCTCCTCGATGGTCCTCGCCGAAGGAAAAATGCACACGTCCGAGCGATGCCAAGCCTCCTTCGGTCCTATAGAAAGGCCCTCCTAGTGCACAGGCAGGCCGCACTGGGGCCCTGACACCACACGGGTAGAGATCCTGCGCCGCGGGATGGGGTCCAGAGCGAGAGCCCCAGACAGGGCTGAACCTAACCGGTGCTTTTCGTTTTCGTTTCGTTTATGTTTTCCCTCGCTTTCGTCTCGAATCGAAGTCGAAACGAAAACGGCACACGAAAGTCAAAACGAAAAAAAGTCGAAACGAAAACGCAAAACGAAGTCGAAACGAAAAACGAAGTCGAAACGAAAAAACGCACAACGAAGTCGAAACGCAAACGAAAACGCAAAACGAAAAAAACGCAAAACGAAGTCGAAACGAAAACGGCCCACGAAATCGCCAAAAACACCGTTTAGGTCCAGTCCTGGCCCCAGAGTGTGAGTCACGATCTCAGGCGGGGGGTGCGACCCGGCACGGGACAGTCTGACCTGAAGCGCCCTGGCTCGAGGCGCCAAGGGAGGTGGTGCCGTCTCTGAGGGCGCCCTGGGACACACACATAAATAGGCACAAATCACAGGATTACCAATAGTTTCCTATAGTTTCTGGGTTTCTGTCTTCCCCTTCCCATATTCTCCCATATTTTCGGGGGGGGGGTCCCTGATGATTCTCTTCTTGCGGCCTCCCGCACGCGCACAGCATGGCCGATGCGGCATGGCCGCCCGCTGCCGCGCAACGCGGACGTGGCGCGATCAGGCGGGTGGCGTCACGTCAGGCACCAGAGGCTTCTCCTCGACCGTGCCGTCCTCGTGCTGCGCGAAGCGCTGACGCTCCCGCGGGTGCGCGGCCCCCCCGGAGGGCCACGGCCAGCTGCCAAACCCGGTGCGCTGGTAGTCCTGGAAGGCCTTTGCGATGTCCTCCCGGGTGCTCCCGACGAAGGGGCCGTGCTGGACGACCGGCTCGCCGATCTCTCGGCCCTGCAGCAGCAGGAACTCCGCCGGGGCCTCCGGGCCCGCGGCCAGCTCCACCGCGCTGTCGGGCCGCAGCCTCACCCTGGACCTGGCGCTCACCTCCTTGAATGGGGCCCAGGGGCACGCAAACCAATACACACGCAAGTCCCAGGATCGCCCCTATTTTCTAGGGTTTCGTCTCCCCCCCCGACCACTTCCCATATTTCCCATGTCTTCCTGGGAATCGACGGCTACTCGTGTCTGTGCGCTTCTCAACCCCCGGACTCCTCCCCGCCAATGGTGGCCGTGGCCCCAGCGTAGAAGTACAGGCTCCTCCGCAGGCCCCCCAGAGCCAGGTCCGAGGCGCACCCCGGCAGCACCCACGCCGCGCCCGCGGCCAGCCTCAGGGTCAGCACCAGCACCCCCGAGGCCGGGTCGGCCGCGAAGGAGTTCGGCGGCGGCGCGGGCGGGGCGGAGAGTCGGCGGAGGCAACGGGAGCGGCTGGCCCAGCAGGAGAGAGCGCGTCGCACGCATCCGAGGGTTCCCGGGCGTCCATGTCCTCGACACGACATTCTCCCGCGAACGCACGTACGGCCTCTCCGTATCGTGACGACCCCAGCGCTGGTTTTCTGACACCGCGTGCATCGTTCAGCCTTGGACGACTGGCGGCTTGTCGACCGCCAGATCACCCGATGCGGGCCGAATATTGGCCACTGGCGGCGTTCAAAATGAAACGTCCGCGGTCATGTCGCGGCCGCGACGGCACGACGCGAGCATGCCGGAACTATAAAAGTAGCGGCACGAACAGCACCTTTTGGAGGTCCGCGCGGATGTCTTGGCTCTACGCTGATCCCCCTCCCCCTGGCGCGCGGAGCTCGTCAGGGGCGGCACCAAAAGCGCCGCCAAAGAGGCCCGTCGCCGATCCGAGAAATCCGCGCGGAGCTCCGAAACACTGTGTGTATGCAGATGCTTCTTGGTCGAATAATTCCCGCCACGGGTCCTGGGGGAATCGGGTCCTGGACCCCGGGGCCTTCCCCCCGGACCAGCTCTCGATCCTGAGCCGTTGTTTGACGCTCCACGTGGCCCGTGGAGGGCCCCAGGAACCCGCGAGCGGCAAAAAATCTCGGGGCCCGCTTCCTTTATGACCTTTTGGCTTGATGGTCGCCCCATCGAACTGGAATGTGCGTCGGATCGGGCTGCCTCGGCACGGAGCCAAAATCGAATCGGATCGGCCGCGCCAGGATGCACAACAACGCCACGGAAACATCGGGCCGCATCATGCAAACATCGGATCGCCGAGCATCGGAATGGGATCGAATCGAGACGGCCGGAATCGATACCGACTCGGATCGGTTACCCCGGCCCTGGCCCAGGCCCCAGTCCGCCCCCAACGAGGCAGACGGCGCTTCTCCTTCCCCTCCTCCTCCTCCTCCTCCTCCTCCTCCTACTCCTCCCTTTCCTTCTCCTGCTCCTCCTCCTGCTCCTCCTGCTCCTCCTCCTATTCCTCCTCCTCGACCTCCTCCTCCACCTCTTCCTGCTCCTGCTCCTCCTCCTCCTCCTCCTCCTCCTCCTCCTCCTCCGCCTCCGCCTCCTCCTTCTCCTCCCCCTAGTCCTCCTCCTCCCTCTCCTCCTCCTCCTCCTCCTCCTCCTCCTCCTCCTTCTCCTCCTCCTCCTCCCCCTCCTCCTCCTCCGCCTCCCCCCCCTCCCCTCCTCCTCCTCCTCCTCCTCCTCCTCTCTCCTCCTCCTCATCCTCCTCCTCCTCCTCCTCCTCCTCCTCCTCCTCCTCCCTCCTCCTCGTCCTCCTGCTCCTCTCCTCCTCGCTCTCCTCTTCTTTCCTCCTTCCTCCTCCTCCTCCTCCTCCTCCTCCTCCTCCTCCTCCCCTCCTCCTCCTCCTCCTCCTCCTCCTCCTCCTCCTCCTCCTCCTCCTCCCCTCCTCCTCCTCCTCTCCTCCTCCTCCTCCTCCTCCTCCTCCTCCTCCTCCTCCTCCTCCTCCTCCTCCTCCTCCTCCTCCTCCTCCGCCTCCAGCGCCGCCTCTTCATCCTCCTCCGCCTCCTACTCCACCTCCTCCTCCTCCTCCTCCTCCTCCTCCTCCTTCTCCTCCTCCCTCCACCGTCCGTCGCATGTCCCGAGCCTGTGGCAGGGTCATCAGCTCGTCGTTGTCGTCGTCGTCGTGGTCGTGGTCGTCGTTGTCGTCGTCGTCGTCCTTCTGGGTCGGCGGCACCGGTCGTAAGGCCTTCACAATCAATACCGAATCGGATCGGCCGGATCGAAACGGCCCCTGCTGGGCTAACCGCCCGCCTCTGCCTCCGCCGAGAGAAGCCAGGGAGCTCCCCCGCCACCAGGGCCACGTCCACGCCCGCCGCGCCGAGGGCGCCGCCCGAGCAGGCCCGGAGGTCCTCCGCCCAGAGCATCTTGAAACTCGCTGGCACCATCTTGGAGGCCCTCGGCAGGTTGATCCAGATCTGGAACCGCGGACGCTCGGCAGCCCAGAGGGCCAGGGGTGCGAGGCGAGGATTGACCCTGGGATCGGGCGCTGCACTTTTTGTCACCGCGCGGGGGTCGGCCGCCGCCGCCGCCGCCCGACTGGTCGATCGAGGATCGAGGCTCGAGGATCGGGTCTCGAGGCTCGAGGCTCGAGGTTCGAGGCTCGAGGTTCGCGAATCGAGGATCGAGCCTCTAGGATCGAGGATCGAGGTCGAGGCTCGAGGCTCGAGGATCGCAGCTCGAAGGTCGAGGAGATCGATCGGGGGGGACCGAAGAGGCGGGGGTTTATACAGAACCACCGCCTAGGGGTTCGAGCTGCGGGGACCTCTGCAAGCGGTGGCTGTGGGTACATGCCTGCCCCCCCCCCCAGGACCGGAGAGTGGCCACGTCCGCCGCCTGCCCGAGGTCCACGGAGACGATTACCCCTGGCGGTGAGCATGGATCAATCCCCCCTGCATCGATGAGGAGGAGGAGGAGGAGGAGGAGGAGGAG